TTATTATTGGTGTACACAAAATACTCCTACTTTTTCATAAGTCTACTTCATACAATCCGGACGCTTTGGAACCCAACAAATCTGGATAAACTAGGGTTGACTGCCAATGGTTTTGAGATGAGCATAAACCAATAAAACAATGAATAAATAAGAAGTAAATAATTTATTTACCATTGAATCAGTGTAATAACATTTTATTACAGTAGTAAATATACGAAAAGCGTCGATTTGTTTGGAATGTTGACAAACAAATTGGCCATTTCACAAATCAGTTCCAAAAGCAATCCGCATTCAACTCGTTCATTTCCGTCGTGTGACACTTGGACTTCCGGTTTCCCGATGTTCCGGTTATCCGACTTGTATTCCAGTGGTTCACTTTGAAAGTTTAATGAACGTGAAATCGATATTTCAATGTAAAAATTGCTCAATTAAAATATGTATTTATTTAACTTATTTAATATTTTGTTTTCGACAGAAGAAACAGTAGTTGTTGACACTAAAAAAGGTTAAAAAAATTTGTAAGACTCGAAACACCAATAATCGGTAAATGACATTAATGTCATATGTGACCTGTTCATGCTTTATCTGCAAAATAATGTTTACTTAAGTACGAGATTTAAAAACATATAAACAAATTGTAAGTCATGATATTCTTAGAATACTATACAATAAGAGATCGATTCTTCTTCCAGGCAGAAGTAATTTTAAAATTAACTTCAATCAAGTTACCAATCTTGTTCAATGAAAATGTTTGTTGAAAATATTTAGTTAGTTTTCCACACGGCGTATTCTCTCATTGTAAAATTACACGGTCATATGTTTGCTTCGAGACGTACTTTAACCTACTATTTGAGTAAACGTACAAATCACCATGACACATCAAATTGGTTTTGGATTTTACAATAGTATAAGAAGTCTACTAGGAATTTCCCATATAGAAAATAAGCTATTAATGTAGGTCTCATGGTAGGAGCTGGACCCGGGACCGATTTACTCTTTCGGCGAGGTTTCCAGAGGCCAAGAACACCATTAAGATTTATAAATATATTTTGAGAAAAAAACTGTAAATTTAAAGTTTCAATATAAATTATTATGGATAAATAAATAAAGTGTTGTAGTTTTCTTGTTTATGGATGTATTTTCATAAAATTTGGAAATACTAAAATAACATTTCAATAAAACCACAATTGTTACCTTCCCTGTAGCAGCAAACTTAAGCACTCATTCAAATCGATAAATGAAATAAATTTGACAATTTTAAGGGAAGAATCTAGTGGAAATCTAGCCAGAAATGGAAATTAACTTAGTCTGCAGGTTTTGCTGAGGTGTTTGTTGTTTACTATTCCTGTTTTGTACCCAACATTAAACCTGTTTTGACAATACGTAACTATCTATATACTATTTCTTGTTATTTGATTATATAAGAAACAGGAAAGAGTTGTACAATTTACCCTTTAGGGTAACATTTAGCCATAATGAGCGCACTCTTCACATGAAACATGGAAACACAACGACACAGGTTTGGTTTTGGGTTGAGAAGTCCACTTGGATTATTTTAAGTCAAAACTTCAACCAAACCCTAGATTGGCCTCACGCTGTAAACTTCCAGGATTATACATCAGATCTACGATGCGGGTCAAAACCAGTTCTATGGGAACCATTGCCACCGTGTGAAGGTGAAGGTCAAACAGAGTCAAGGTCATGATGATGGAACTTGGAACTGCAGAATCGAATGTTTACATCACCTTGACAACAGGTCAGATCAGGTAGGAATGTGATGAGCAAAAAGAAGCAGAATAACAAAGTCTGAAAAGTGAACGATTCTTTGCGTTTGGTACCATAAAGGTAAGGTGAAACAGAAAGCGGTATGGATCATAAACATAAACAATTGACGTAACTGACCCGAAGCCTATACTTATAACATTGACATAATGGTTCGGGCAGTTCCATTTAAGCAGTAAATATTGTTTACTTTCGGACCAGTGACATAATTTGTTTATGTTTATGATCACTGTTTCTGTTCTAGTATTCATGGTACAATCCTTTACGATAATATAACGTACAATCAAACCATTCACATTGAATTGTGTAATAGGACTTCTAAGCCTATTTTAAAATTTGAAGCCTGTTCTATTTTTGTTGAATTTTTGTTTCATGTTCAGTACGATTGTATACTGGTGGTGACGAAGACTTTTATTTCAGGGAATATTTTACGTTTTATAAGATTTACTAGCAGAGTACCCGTCCTTCGTACGGGGTTGGAATATAAGTATAAAATGCTTATTGCAGTTAAACTCAAGCTTTGCGTTTACAAATACACAGACACAGTTAGATAAAATTTGCTTTTTTAAATTTACAGTATTCTATAGTATTACGCATCTACCATAGCCGTAATGTTCTACCACTTCACCTAAACAAAAGAGAAAAATAAATTATCAACAATTTGCCAAATATCACAAATTATTCATAAAATGAAAAACATAAACATAACTGTAAACAATCCTACTTTGACAGTTCTCATTGCGAATCACAGTTTTTTGTTGCTGCTTAGTTCAAATTAGTTGTTTTCATAAATGCAAAAAAATATAGTGCTGCACCCTGTTGGTAAATCTTATTTTTTAATACTTTTCCATATCATAAAACCAACTTTTTTTAGTTAAAACAGCTGACTAGATTATTTAATTCCCTTTAATTATGAATACTCATAAGGTTAACATGGGGAATTACAGAGCCACTGGGGCGGAGCCCGAAAGGATTTTTGAGATATGAATATGCTTATATGTTAATCGGGAATGTAAGCTATCATCATGCCAAATTTCAGCCCAACCCGTCCAGTGGCTTATGCGTAATTGAACTTCAAACACACAAACAAACAAACATACAAACTTTCACATTTATAATATTAGTAGCCTATGATATCCAGTATCATATGGAACAACCGCACACCACTGATTGTAAATAAATAGTTGTATTTGTTAGAATTTTGTTAAACAATTTTGAATACTAAGAAACAAAATAAAAAATGGCCCTCAACATAAAATGGACGATGATAAACTTAAACTGTAAATAGCTAGTGTGTTTAAAAGTTTTGAACCTTTCTCAGATTTGGCTCTAAGGATCGCCTTTGCATATGACTAGTATGACCTTACATACACTAAGGTTAACTTAAAAAACAAGTCCTAGACCAGTTTTATGGTGAACGTTAACCTAATTTACCTAAAATAAAATATTTACGTGAAATTTAACATTGACTTAAATTAACTTAAACAATCAGCACGGCTTTTCTCGTGTTGGTAATGAAATGACACATTTTTCAAACGTAAGCACTGGATGAATGAATTGCAGCAAAGTCTTTGGCGACTGAGTTTTACAATTTAAGTAAGTAATTTTGTACGCTTACTTAGTACAACCTTTGACTATTGCTACTTCTGTATTCAATAGTCAATGGTACAACTTTAACATGGAAGCGTCTATCTTTTCATTGTACAGCTGTCATGTTTTCCTGGCTACATGCGACTTGCAGTAGACTGACAATTTCCTCAGTAATTGTTATCTAGCTACGTCACACTGTAAGCTCAGATAAGCCCGGCGTGTCCCAAGGCCTCCGTAATCGCGGGTTTGTTATGCCATTATTCGTGGTTGATTGCGCACTAGTTCCTTGCGCATCAGATCATTGCGCGTTGTAACCTGCCTTGCGCATAACTGACCTACAGCAGCGCTCGAAGCCACTAGAACCATTGATTAAAGTTCTTTTAGATTCATCCCCTTTATGGATCGGCTGAAGATTTTTACTTTTTCATTCCCATGTTAATCCGTAGCGGTAGAAAAAAAATGATCTTAGCTGAGTCTATAAGAAATCGTGTGGATGACAATTTATTTGTAAGCTATTTCTAGTCCAATGGTAAAAGCACGAATGTAAGAGAAAATACTTAGGTACAATTTACCACTCAACCGTCACCAACGTGGACATTGGATATGAATGAAAAAGATATTTTTGTAACAATTTTAAGTTACAATTTTTGATAGAAATATCTGTTTTAAATTTTTTTGTATATAATGTTACTTTGGTTTTTGATGAATTAGAGAATAGATCAGGGTACATTCAATCACAAGAAATATTTGAATCGTTCATTGCAGAAACCCCATAGGCTAACCAACATATTTTTCGATTTTGACTTTTTAGTATGTTATTGACAAATTGAAATACATAGTTTGGTACAGAAATCACACAACTGCGAAAGAATGAACGGGGCTGCTGCAGTAAACAATTAATTTACTAATTTAGTTAAACAACTTTTTATTACTGTAATTATTTTTTCGTCCAGTTGCCTTTTAGTGAAAAATAACACTAAATATTTTAGGGGAAATGTCGCTCAATTTATTCTGGATAAACTATGAATCGAACCCATCCCACTCGTATTTAATTCCAAAACAGTGACAAATAATAACAACACAACAGATTTCACACTATGTAGTAACAAAAACAAATTTCTCATTTATCCATATAAATTCATTGAAACGTCTACCATACATTGGCCTTAGAACTATCCAAATGACACACCTCTGATAGCTTTATGGACAGTAATAAACCCCATCAAAACAAATAATTTAGAAAAAGACACTCATGTAAAATCTAAAATGTTCTCAGCTTATATAGTGTATAAACATAAACAATCCAAACGTACTACATCGAAATTCCATAAATGTACAGACAAATCCCTTCTTTTTATACATCAGTAGAACCTTGATAGCAATACCCTTGAAAGCACCCTTGATAACAAGTAATTTTCAAATCGTGAAACTATCCACCCCTAAAACCATATTGGAAACCTCGATAAGAAGACTTTGATAACAAGTATATTTTTTAGGGACATCGCGAACGCATACGATATTCGTCTATGGATAAGTTAAGAGCTGTTTGTTTTGGTTTTTTTTCACTTTCCCATTCTTATTATCGAGGTTCTACTACTAATATTTAAAAGAAAGGAAACAAATCTGACCTTGTACTGTTGTGACTGGTGAAGTAGGCCGTAGAAGATCAGGTGTAAACCTCAGCACTAAGTAACGGGTCCCATACCTCACTAACTCACTGGCTCCCTAGCGCACTGTGCTCACCAGCGGCTACAACCACACTGGCTCACTGACGGAAACCTGGCGCTAGCGGTCATGTGACCCATCTCGGCCTACTGGGTGCCAGCCTGCTAAAAGGCAAACAAGTGTTAATAGATCTCTAACACCTCGTTGAGCAATTAGGAATGTAAGCTACTTCATTGACCTTTGTAGCTGAAGATGTAACGTTTGGATATGTAGCTGATTTTCGTCACTAAGATGACTTATAGTGCGACAGTTTAAAATCCGTTTAACTCTCGTTTTAGTTTTTTTGATAGTAGTTGAAAGGTACTTAAATGATTTACAGCATTCTTGACTATTGGATACGGTACTGAAATACTGGTGGTCAACGGTTACGTTATATTTTGTCATTCTGACTGTTTTTAGCAATTTTCCATATTGGGAATAAGCCGTAGGTTTTTTGGTAAGACCTAGGCTCAGGTCGGATTTAATCTTTCGTTTTGCAGTCCCCAGAGGCCAAAACACCATCCATTCTCATACATTTATCAGTGTTCGTTAGCACGATAACTCAGGTAAAAAATATCCGATTTCACTGAAATTTAATTCTAATGTGTAACCTACGTTTATTCAAAAGAGTTTATGAACCATCGTGATTGGACTATGGGGCGGGATTTGGGGGAATTTTATGGGGTAAAAATTAGTTTTACCACTATTGAGTCAAAAAACATTACATTTTATTTTACTTTATATTTATTTATATTTATAATTTTTTTTATTTATTTATTTATTTTATATTTTATTTTACCATTTATTTTTAAACCTAAAAGCTTAAACAAATATTTAGTACACTGAAGCGTTGTTGTACAAAATTAAAAGTTACATAAAAGAAAAAACTGTAAGCTTAGAATTTCATGATATCCTTATGGAGAATAAATTACGTGTTTTAGTTAGCTTGTTTTTGGGAACATTTTGATCAAATTCAGCTAATTTATTTGCCCCCCATTAGTACCCATAAATAACTGTAAAAATAAAAATCTAATTTTACATTTTTGCTCTATCCAGTGATGTCACCGAACGTCAACTTCATTTTATTCCACAGCAGACAGATCAAATTGAATATTTTATCCGTTTTGATTTTCGTGTTTTATAAACATGGCCGAAACATTTAGTTTGGGGAACACACTGGGAACGTTCTACCGATTCAGTAACGAACTTGACAATGGGCAGTTCTCAGTTCGTTAGAGTGTTACAGTCCAACGAGTAACACTTCATTTTCTGTTAGTTTCTTCTTTGCAGATAAGTGAAAATAACGTTTAACTATTGATGAGAACAGATTGTAGAATGTTTTAGGGCTTTTAATTTTACAAATTTAATAAAAACACTTAAAAGTGTGTTTCCTTTTTGTGTGATTTATTGGAATGCAAAAACTTGTTAACAAACTAATAAAAACTTATTGTCTTCATACAATAAAGACCAGAAACTGCAATATAATTAGATATTTTTGTACATGCTCAAAAGAGTTTCAAATATTCCCCAATTAAGTTGTTCAACCGTCTACCAAATAATGTCAAAGTATTGTCTTTAGATAAATTTTAATATCTATAAGTAAAAAAAGTCACTCAACCTAATGACAACGTAACAATACAACTTAATTGTTTTCATTTAGTGATATTTTAAATTTCAGAATTTTCCAGTCTTTTTGAATTCCAAAGTATAAGCCTATACAATACATTATAAACAGTCCTAATTGCTTTTCGGCCACTTTTAGTTGGTCACTACATGAACCACATAACTAAGACATTACTTTCTCTTCAGAATTTGGGCTATCGATCTATTACAGTTCCTCACCGAGAATTACTACAGAACTTTATGGTGAGAAAGTAGAATCACCCAGAATAGAAAGCTCGTTTATGGGTCAACTATTCGGTTGTTCAGGTGGTCAATTGAAACCTAAACTTGGAACAATGACCAAAGTGAAAACTTCATGTCACTTTCGTGACAATGGCTCGTGATGGAATTAAATAATTGATGTTTGACATACTACAGCGAAAACAGCTGATTTCAACACCGGCCTTGATTTGTGGACCTAAATTAGTTACGGTAGTTTTATTTCTAGAGCTAACAAAAATTTAAGATCTTGATTATAAGCTTCCTTGGTCAAAGTAGACTGATCATGCTCTTCAGGAAGGACCAAATTACAATAAATATACTGTTAAACAGTTATTTTAAGGAACCCTTGATACTAAGGGCGGTATTATTTATTTATTTATTTACGTAAAAAGACGAGAATTCAAGTAGATCAGCTGAAATTTTGTCTTACTTGAAAACTTTATTGTTACTAATGATTGTAGTTAAATCATTGTTGCATTGTAGTAGACTGAATTGAACTGTGCTGACTTGAGTATGGCGAGTTTTGTGACACAGAAAATATTATTATCATCATCATTATGAGATGAGGACCCACCTAGGTGCGTATTTTATCTCAAATATGAGTGAAAGATGAGTGTAGAATGGTGTGAGATGATCTGTGTAGTTTTTTACTGACTACGATCAGCTGGTTCATAAGTCAGGACCATTTATAAACCCATTGATCAGGGACAGCAGCTGGGTCTAGTTTTGAACCATCAAAAGCTACTCACTTTTCTCAAGATCGAAACAGCAACTTTTTTTATTGTTTGAACACTAAACAACAAAAAAATAATCAATAATTTTTTTAAATAATTTACAATTGTACTAAGTAGCCAACTAAGCTGTTAACAACTGTTTATTCGACCACATTTGGGGAGCGAGCTGGTCTAGTGCTAGGTGGGACTTCATTCCCTGAGGTCTTACGTTCAAATCCTGCCAATTACCAATGGTTTACAGTGATAATACCGCGACCCCTCTACACCTAGCCTATAGCAATGTTGAAAACTATTCCGGGATAGATTTTCCATTAACGTTTAATACAAAGTTTAATACATAGTGAATATGAACAATATTTTTCTTAGAATAATTTTCCAATTCACACTTCACGAACACTGAACGTCCTCTGTGTCACACACGTTAAATTTGCCATCAGAACCCAAATATTGACAGGAGAAGCAGAGCTAATTAACACCAGTTAATGAACTCTTCGACGACGAAATTGAAGGAACAAAGCTCCGCTGTTAATATCACCAAACGAGGGGAAACGTAAAGATGCTAAAGAGAATTCCTCTTAATTGAAGTGAATTCGATGTCGATATTTGTAATGATTTTTTATCAAAGGTAATTTTGTATTTTTTTTTTAAATTTTAATTCGATGGAGGACTTTTTTGGTGGAAAATATTCTCTGTAGTGTTGTTCTTTTTTGTAATTTTCTTTTGGATCAAATTACAAAAAAATAGGATTGGTTAATTGGGAGCTTTATGTTTTCGGCGTTATTATTAAACGGTAAAAATAAGGACATTTTAATTTTTGTTCTTAGTGAGGTTTACCTGGTGTCTTGAGCAGAGTTTCGGTCCTGAGGACACGGGTTCGATCTCGACAATGCCGTGAGTAGGTTCTTCACCTTTCTTGGGAAATAATGAGTTTCTTCTCTGCAACAAAGAAATACTTCAACTTAAAGTGGTCCAATAATTAACTGGATACAAATTGGTTGCAGTTAAGAAGCACAACAGTAAAACAAGGAAGAGTGATGTGGTGATAATGTTTCGTCTCTTAACCCTCATACAATATAAATGAATATGGTGGATGGTATTTATGGACACTTTTTGCATTAAAATACAAGTACATCCAAGGATAAAATGTCGTACCATACATTTTTAGTACAGAAGTATACCAAAAATGTACTTGAGACAATCAAGAACCAGGTTTATGAATACGATGATGCTTAGTACAGCTAGATTTAGACGTTAGCAAAGCTAAACAGGACAAACAAGTTATTAGGCATATATGTTACCGGAAAAGTATATAACCAGGGTGTTGAATAGCGTAAAAAATCGGACAAAGTATGAAATAGACCTCATTATATACTTTGCCTAATGATTCTATAGAATGGCTTTACAGATAAAGTATAAAATATGCTATAAAATGACTTTTTTAGGCTTTTTTCTTTGTTTGGCATTCATAAATAATAAATCCAATCTAAAATAAACCAACTAAACCTAACCTTATACAAAATGTATTTAATAATTCTAAAGGATATTTTTTAGACTTGTGGTTCCTTTTTAAGCATTTGCCATTGTTATCTAAACTAAACTTATCCAACCTAACGCAACCATAGAAAAAATATTGAAATTTTGTATAGTAAATAGTTTTTAGCGAATTTCCCATGTAGGGAATAAGTTTATTACCGTAGGTCTCATGGTAAGACCTAGACCCGGGACCGATTTTTTTTTTCGTTTTGAGGTCCCCAGAGGCCAAAAACACCATCAGTTCAAATTCATATATATATATTTATATATGTGTCCGTTAGCGCGATAACTCGAGCAAATTTGATCCGATTTTGATGAAATTTGGTACAAACGTGTAAACCTACATTTATTCGAACGAGTTCGCGAACCAGCATAATCGGACCATGGGATCAGGGGTTTATGGGGGGTTTTATGGGGTAAAAATGGGGTTTTCTCATTTTTGACCCTAAAAACTTTAAATTTCTTAATTTCTCTCTAGACCATTTTGAAGAGCTTAAAAACAAATAATTTAGTATATTGAAGTGTTTTTGAAAGTTCATTGACTACGGAGAAAATTAAAAAAATTGTAAATTAAAAATTCCCATGTTATTCTTATGGAGAATAAATAAACTGTTCTAGTTTGCTTGTCTATGGATATATTTTAATCAAATTTGGCAATTTGGTTTACCTATTTCATACTAAGCTATCAATATTTCAGTTGAAAAAACACACCTCAACATCTTCCCGTAGCAGCAAACCTAACTACTCACTAAAATTATTGTTATAGGAAATAAATCTAAAAATTTATAGGGAATATTTTAGTAGAAACCAAGCCGGGTAAATGGAAATTCGCTTAGTATGCAGGTTTGCTGCGACGGGGGTATTTAACAAATATATTTATTTTATACTTTGCATGACGAACTATTGGCATTCTATAGAACGC